GAGGGGAGGAGGGGGCACGGCACGGGGCTGCATGTCGCAACGGCCCACGGCGGCGCGGCGTGGAACAGGTACACATTACGCGACAAGTGCCAGAGACAGGACGGGGGGCGGCTCCAGGCTCCAGCTCCAGGCTTCCAACCTCTCCTGGAAGGGGACCCGCGGGGCCGCCTGGAGCAGGGAGTGCCCTCCTCCAATAATGTTTCAGACGGTCTTAGCGCTATTCTGTCCAGGCCGAGTCCATGCGCTCTGTAGAAGGAGGAGTAGAACGCCGCATCGTGAGTCACACACAACCGCTCTTTTGGAAAGAAAGGGAAAGGAGAGGATAGAGAACTCGCCGATAAATTTTCGAGTGTTATTGATTTTTTTTCGACGCGGCTGCAGTTGAATTCGGAGATCTGCGTGCGAAAATAGAGGCGACCCTGCTGGGCTGGGAGTGCTCGGGAGAGCTTTTGAGAGCAGAGCCCGGCAGAGCCCGGCAGAGCCCAGCCGCGAGCCCCTGGACGGATCGATATGTAGGCAGTTCTGTCGAGCATGCACGCTGTGGATTTGCCTATACCGGCAGGCGGCTGGCCGGCTGCAGCAAGTGCTTGCCCCGGTGCCCGCTTAACCCCCCCTCCCCTCCCTCCTCCTCCACATCCCCGGCACGACGAAGAGGGAGAGGGAGAAAGAGAGAGAGAGAGTTATAAAGTATAAGGCCTCACCTCACCGATACAGCCGCAGCTGTTGCCTCACCGTCTGCTCCCGCAGCCCGTGGGTCAGCGGGCCACAGGTAGCGAGCAGCGCGGCGGCGTGGTCCATCCCCGCCATGCAGCAGCAGCAGCAGCGCCCGCCAGCGGCTGCCGTAGCGCCAGCTGTGCGCGAGGGGAGAACTCACTGGTGGAAATTGAAAAGGGCGTAAGTCCTCGAACTTCCCATTGGACATACGCCCTTTTCACTTTTCACCAGTGAACTGTCTCTGCTCCCCTGCTCCGCCGCCCGCCCTCCCCTCCTCAGCCCCTGACGGGTCGAGGGTAGGCCACCGGCTCCACCAGCGTGCACTGCGGGGTCGGACCTTGCATACCTACCAGGCGTCTCGACTCCATCGCTTGCGAGCTATCCCCCATCCGTCTCACTCACCCTCGCAACATTTAATTTCGCACACTTTTACTTGTAAAATACCCTTGCCCTTTAAGAGTACGATGCAAAAGAAACAACGACAAATTAAAACGTTTGACCAACCAACTAGAACCATTCCGGCTGAGATGGTATTTCAGGCCATTCAAACTTCGACTTCAAAACTAAATCACAAGTGCTACCCGCGCCCTGGGCGCCGCCTCGGGCCGGGCCCGGGCGGGGCGGGCGAGTGCGGTGAGGTAGGGCATGGCTGTGGCCGGCCAGACGCGCGCCGCCGCAGCAGCAACGGCGGCGGCGGCGCG